TTACAGGTGTGAGCCACCATACCCGGCCTTACTCTAGGTATTTCTTATAAGTGGAATAATACAATATTTGTTCTTTTATATCTGGCTTATTTCATATACCATATGTCTTCAAGTTTCATTCATGTTACAGCCTATGTCAGAATTTCCTTCTTTTTTAAGGCTGAATAATACTTATTTATACCACATTTGGTTTATCCATTTATTGGTTGACATTTGTATATACATTTTGTATATACCACATTTTGTTTATCCATTTATTGGTTGACATTTGGATCGTCTGCACCTTTCAACAATTGTGAGAGCCCAGCATTGCTTCACACCCCCGAGTCTCCACGGACCAGGCTCCCTCCTGGAAACACCTCTGCCAACAAGCAGCTTGTTGCTTTTGTCTTGTCTCTGTAAGCCCCCCTCCCTTGCTGGTCCCTGCTTGCACTGCATATGAATTAGCAAATCAATGAAGCCGAAAGATTGTAAGGTCAGATGTCCAGCAAATGGACAATGACTTAGTTCTGCTTCAGTTTCCCCTTCAGCATTGTAAGCCTATAAAAGGCGAGAGAAGCTGCAGTTCGGGGAGCTCGGTGAGTAAGGCTGTAGACCCCCTGCAGCTCCCAGCTGAATACAAAGCCACTTCCTTCCGCAGTTCGGTGTTCAAGAGATTTGTTCCCTGCCGCTCCTGCTTCGCCCACAGATACTTAACTTGGCTCATCCCTCATCTTCTGCAGGTCTTTCTTCAAAGAAACACTTCTCAACGAAATGTTTCTTAACCACGGTGTGTAAAACGGCAAACTCTCCCACCCTCCGAGTTCCTGTTCCCCTTTCAAATTCTTATTTGCACTTCTAGGGAAGTTTAAATTTTCCTCCTGAATTTTGGTAATTTGAGTCTATGAAACAACTGATACACAGCTTAACAGGAAAACAAGGCATACACATTTTATTAAAGTGAATATAAGCACAGGAGTGATAAAAAAATATAGAAAAAGAAAGGCAAGATAGTAGATGTTTTTATGCCATCTTGCAGTTACAGGAAGAACAGGGGCTTGGATCATGGCTAAGACAGGTTACATGAGAGAGAGAAGAGGACAGACCTGAAGAAAAGGTAGTCTTATTATGCAGATGAAGCTGTGCAGGTAGCAGCCTAAGGACAGATGGTAGCCCATGGTTAAAGTTTCTGTGCCAAACTTTCAAAGGTGTCAGACTCCCAGTTAATCTTTCCCAGATCTGGACAAAGGAGAGCCTCAGAGAAAGCCTATTCACATGTTATTTATGTCACTTCACTTCCTCTACAGATGCAAGTCTCTTCCACAAAAGACAGCTTTTCAGGGCTATTCCTGTCCGCTAGCTCTCTGAATAGCCATCTCAAGATATGTCAGGGAAGTATATTTTGGAGTGAAGTATTTTGATTACATTCACACTCATCTCTAGCTCAAAACATATTTATTCTCTTATTATCTTTCTTCCCTCTCCTCCAGCAGAATTCAAGCTGCATTTGTATATAGGTTTTGCCAGTTTGGCCCACTGGTGTATTTCTAGCATCTAGTTCAATGCCAGGCACAGGGTAAGTGTTCAATATATTTTTGTTGTTGTTGAATGAATAATGAAATCCTATACAGCAATGAAAATGAATGAACTTTGCATGTATCAAGGTAGACTAATCTAAAAGTGTTTGTGTTGAACACATAAGTCATAGAATATATACATATATATACATGATACATATGCATATATATATACACAATACATATATATGCATATATATACAGATAAGTGTATATAGATATGTATATACATTTTTATATAAAGAGAATCAGCTATATACATACATATTTATATTGTATGAAAGTTGAAGGCCGGGCGAGGTGGCTCAAGCCTGTAATCCCAGCACTTTGGGAGGCGGAGACGGGGGGATCACGAGGTCAAGATATCGAGACCATCCTGGTCAACATGGTGAAACCCCGTCTCTACTAAAAATACAAAAAAAATTAGCTGGGCATGGTGGCGTGTGCCTGTAATCCCAGCTACTCAGGAGGCTGAGGCAGGAGAATTGCCTGAACCCAGGAGGCGGAGGTTGCGGTGAGCCGAGATTGCGCCATTGCACTCCAGCCTGGGTAACAAGAGCGAAACTCTGTCTCAAAAAAAAAGAAAAAGAAAAAAAAAAAAGAAAGTTGAATACAATATACAATTGAAAATATACAATTGTATATGTATATATATAGCAGATTACCTTTATATACATACATATTGTATATTGTATATATATAACAGGTTGTCTTTATATAAATATTTAAAATGTTGCCAAAGTAAACAATATTTAGGGACACAGACATGTGGAGTAATTATCAAATAAAATAAAGGAATGGTGAAAGCAACTCAGGGAAATGACTTGGGATCATTGTGAACAAGGATTCCAAATTTTGGGTAAATTTCTCTTTCGTAACCCAAGTGTTGGATGTGGGTATTTGTTTTATTATTATTAAATTGTGCCTATGCATACATTATCTTCTGTGTATGGTACACATGAAAATAATTTAAAATAACATAACTATCTTGTGGTTTTTATTTGCATTTCCCTGATGATTAGTAATGTTGACCATTTTTTCATGTACCTGTTGGTCATTTGAATGTCTTTTTGAGAAACGTCTATTCATGTCCTTTGCCTAATTTTTTTTTTTTTTTTTTTTTTTTTTTTTTTAGGCAGAGTCTCACTGTCACCCTGGCTGGAGTGCAGCAGTGCGATCGCTGCTCACTGCAATGTCAGCCTCTGGGCTCAAGCAATCCTCTGCATTCAGCCTCCCGAGTAGCTGGGACTACAGGCCTGTACTGGCAAGCCTGGCTAATTTCATGTTTTGTAAAGAGAAGATCTCACTATGTTGCTGAAGCTGGTCTCAAACTCCTGGGCACGCGTGATCCACCCACTTCTGCCTCTCAAAGTGCTGGGATTACAGGCATGAGCCACTGTGCCCAGCCCTTTGCACATTCTTAATGGAATTATTTGTTTGGATACTGTTGAGTTGTTTTGGTGCTGGGTTTTTGCTTTTTGTTTTTTGAGACATCTCACTCTGTCACCCAGCTGGAGTGCAGTGGCACAACCTGGGCTCACAGCAACCTTCATCTCCCGGGTGCAAGCAATTCTACTTCAGCCTCCCATGTAGCTGGGATTTCAAGCATGTACCACACAGCTGGCTAATTTTTGTATTTTTAGTAGAGATGGGGTTTTGTCACATTGGCCCAGCTGGTCACGAACCTGTTGAGTTATTTGAATTCTTTATATATACTGGTATTAGTCCCTTGTTGAGTGAGTAATTTGCAAATATTTTCTCTCAAGAAGTTGTTACTTCCTTCTATTGATTGTTTCTCTTTCTGTGCATTTTTTAGTTCAATATAGTTGTGTTTGTCTATTTTTCTTTTTGTTGTCTGTGCTTTTGAGGTCTTAGCCATAGACCTTAAAACAAAAAGAACAAAAAGAACAACAAAAAGAAAAAAGGCAACAAAAAGAAAAATCTTTGCCTAGACCAATGTCCTGAAGAAATGACCTTATGTTTCCTTTATCAGTTTTATAGTTTGGGGTCTTATGTTTAAGTCTATAATCTATCTGGAGTTGACTTTCATATATGTTGAGAGAGAAGGGGTCCAATTTCATTCTTCTGCATATTGTTATCCAGTTTTCCCCAGAACCATTTATTAAAGACATAGTCCTTTCCTCAGTGTGTGTTCTTGGCACCTTTGTTGAAAATCGGTTGGTTATAAGCCGGTGCAGTGATTTCTGTGTTCTCTATTCTGTTCCATGGGTGTGTGTGTCTATTTTTATACCAACATCAAGTTGTTTTCGTTACTAACACCCTGTAATTAAATATAAGCTCACTCCAGTTAGAATAACTATTATTAAAAAGACAAAAAATGACAGATGCCGGTGAGGATTTGGGGAAAAGGGAACTCTTACACACTGCTGGTGAGAATGTAAAGTAGTACAACCACTATGGAAAAGAGTGGGGAGATTTTTTTTCCAAAAAACTAAAAATGTAACTACCATACAATCCAGCAACGCTACTACTGGTTATCTATCCAAAGGAAAAGAAATCAGTGTATGAAAAGGATACCTGCACTCATGTTTGTCACTGCACTATTCACAATAGCCAAGATATGGACTCAATCTAAGTGTCCAGCAATGGATGAATGGATAAAGAAAAATGTCCTACATAGACATAATGGAATACTATTCAGCCATAAAAATGAATGAAATAATGCATTTACAGCAACATGCATGGCACTGGAAGTCATTATGTTAAGTGAAATAAGCCAGACACAGAAAGACAAGTACTGCATGTTCTCACTTATATTCCAGAGTTTAAAAACGTGATCTCATGGACACAGACAATAGAGGGATAGATACCAAAGGCCAGGACGGAAGGAAAGGAAGGGTCATGGAGAGGTTGGTTATGGGTACAATCATAGAGTTAGACGGAAGAAATAAGTTCTAATGTTTAATAGCAGACTAAGGTGAGTATACTTATCAATAACATTATGTATATTTCAAAGTAAATAAGAGGAGAGGGCTTGAAATGATACCAACGCATAAAAATGATAAATGCTTAAGGTGATGGGGACCCCAAATACTGTGACTTGATCATTATTACACAGTCTATGCACGTTAACGAGCACATGGACCCTATAAATCATGTAAATTATTTCGTATCAACAAGAGAGAAAAATAATCACAACCGGAGGTGGGAGCTACAGCACACTGATCCTCCAAAATGCATCTAATTTCGGGTTTTGTTTCAAACCGTTCTGCTTACCTAACAAGTGCGCGGGCTGCAGGCAGCACGGCCGGCAGCGGGGTACCCCCCGCCTCGAGCGCGGCGCGCGCACCGCCTCGCACGGCCACCCCACGCGGACTGCCGCCCTGGTGGAGGCGGGTCCTCTCCCGGAAGTCGCCGCGCCACCGCTGCGCCCCCTGGGAAGTGTAGTCGGCACGGGGTTGAGGCATGTCGGGAGTGGTAGTTCTCCCGGGGTTGGCGGGTTTTCGGGGATCGCTCGCGGCCTTTCTGGGGTTCTCCTGGTTGGGGCCATCCCGGCTGGGCTAGGACTGCCGGCCCGGGGCCGAGGCGCTCTCAGTGGTCTCTCCTCCGCCGGGGTGGATCCACGCCTCTTCGGCGAGCGGGTGGCGTGCAGCCTGGTCCGGGCGTCTGGGAGCGGCCCTGCGCGGCGCGGCGCGCTTTGCCACGGGGTCCCGGGGCGCCGTCCGCCAGCGGCCTGGGCAGCCGGAGACCCGCGGGGCGGAGCGCCCCACCAGGTGAGCGGGGCGCGCCGGGCCGGCCTTTTGTCGGTGTTCCTTCTGCGATTTTCTTCTCCATAACGGAAATCGTGACGGCAGCGGCCGCTACCCGCCGAGAGCGCTCGGGTGCCGGACCCTCGGCGGGCGCCTCGCCCGAGCCAACTGCGCGCAGCCCGGCTGAGCGGAGGGGGGCGGCTCGCCGGCTCCCGCTCTCCCGGGGGGAAACCGAGGCGGAGCGGCGGGGTCACGGCGCGGTGTAACCGGGGCCTGGGGCTTGGATCGGGACTCCCTTCCTGGCTCCACCGCTCTCCGTTTCGGTGACTTTGGGCAGGTCACGACCCCCTCGTTCTCAGTCTTGGTCCCATCTGTAAATGTGACGATGGAAAATGCTGCTCGGAAAGCACTCAGCGCGTCCTGGGAAGAGGTGCGCGTCGCCGAGGAACCCAGGCCTTGCAGGGCAGCTTCTCCCGGGCTGGCCAGGGCGTTGGCGGGAGCTGGCCTGGCAGGGCCTCGGGGTGTCTCCATGCCACGGGGCACCCTGAGGAGTCGCTGCAGACGCAGGCCCGGAGGCGCTGGCACTTCCCTGCCTGCCCCAGGCAGTCTCTTCCCTTGCTCTCCTCTCCCTTGGGGTGTGTGTCGGGGAGCGGTGGCTGTTTCCGGCTGTGGATGCCATTAGAAGCGGCACCCGTGGAGTGTTATTTAGGAGGGACGGCAACACGCTGGCATGTGTCCTGGGTGGGGACAGTGTGTTAATCCTGTTACCTTGGGTAAAGTGGGGTAAGGCCCGACCGAGACCTAGGAAGAGGCTGGGAGCGGTTAGTGGTTGGATTATGCTCACAGTTTCTTGGGGAGAACACAGCACTCCACGGAAGAGCCACTCGGGGCGAGCAGCGGAGTCTGGCACCAGGGTGGGGGTGCGGGGAGGCCTCTTTATCGCAGCTCCCACGGGGAGGAAAAAGCAGGCGGGGCAGGCAGGCTTAGGATCAGCTAGCTGGGCTGGGAGGTGGCACCCTCAGGAAACTGGATATTCATTGCCACTGCTAGGGCCTACCGTTTAAAGCTAGCTAGGGACTCCAGACATCCTTGGGTGAGTCACAGTTTGCTTAGAGGTAGCTGAGAAGCCCTAAGGTGGATGTTAAAGCATCAGTGTACAGAAATAGAAGGATGGTTCCTACAGAGAAGGGATAGAGGTTCTCAAGTTGCCCTGGTAAACACTCGTGATTTGTATCATTAAGTGGGGTGGCCTGATGGACATTACGAGCGGTCGTAACTTCCTCTCCAAGCCTTCTCCTGACGCCAGAATTCCTCTCGACGCCTTTTCCTCTGCAGACCCACCTTGTCCATACTCTGCTCTCCCTGGACAGGAAGCCGGAGGAGGAAGGGATGGCGGTGGATCGGCTGCCCGCCCAGGTGAGAGTGATGAAGCTTGTCTCTCATCACTGGGCTTCTGGATTCGGAGATGGTAGGCATGTTTCCAGACTTTGTCCAGGTGCTTTTCGGTCCAGCTAAAACAATGAAGAATCTGGAACCTCAAAAGTTTTTTTTCCCAGCGTCGGGCTTAGCATGGGGCTGCTGCGGAAGGCGCCTCTTCTATCCCCAGACTACTCTTAATTCACCCCACTCACTTTGCGATCAAATTGGAGACAGCTCTGAACATATACTTCCTGCTACAGTAGGTGCTTGGTGGGGAGAATGGGGTATGAAGCAGTCTTTGACTTCACAGAGGATATAGTCACACTTGGGGCAAAAACGGGAAGGCCCAGAAGACACCCTCCGCAAGCATCATTGGCCCCTGTGGCCGGGATGCTGGGCAGCACCTGGGGGGATGGAAAGAGGAAAGCTGTCATTTTCATCTTTCCGGAGTTCGTGGTATTGACTTTAGGAAACATGATTAAATGTTCAGGGGAAATAGCCCAGAAGTGGGGGCATTCTGAGTTGATACTGGATGCGAAGACTGATATTGGGGGTTAGAGAAAACTAAGGGCATTCCAGAAGTTCAGTGTGGCTTGGGGTTTGGAGCCCAGCACTGGGGAGGACGCTGGCCTGGGGCCTTTTCCTTCTAGCGCAGCAAGGATGTGAAGCTGTCCAGATGTCCCTCTCAGCTGTCTAATCGATGCCTCTATTTCCTTCTCTGATTCTTTTCTTTTTTCTCTGCTAGTTTAGCCTCCTTACCTGGGCTCTTTTTTGTTCTTTCTCCATCTGAGATCCATTTTCATTACTTTAACCCTCAGCTTTCTAAATACCTTCCCCAAATCTGTCCTTAGGCCTGACCTTTTTCCTAGCATTTCCGTCTGTGATCCCCACGTGGAAGTCCCGTCTTTCCATCAACACGAGCTCCTTCTCCTAGTCCCCTCCCTTCTGTGCATTTTCTTTTCTGCCATACCCCGAAGCCTGTTCTTCACTGACTGCTTTCCAAAAAGTAGTGGTAAACTGTAGGCTAGAAATGCGGACTCTGGAACTTGACTTCATGGCTTCAGATCCAAGCTAGGGATGTGGCCCTGAGTAAGTTATTTTATCTCTCTGTATCCCATTTCCTCAATTTCAGTGGGGTTAATAATATACATACCTCATTGAATTGATGTGAGCATTAATAACAGTAGTAGCTGGGCACAGTGGCTCACCCCTGTAATCCCAGCACTTTGGGAGGTCAGAAGGATTGCCTGAGCCCAGAAGTTTGAGACCAACCTAAGCAACATAGTGCAGGCTTGTCTCCACAAAAAATTAAAAATAAAATAGCTGGGTGAGACAGCACCTATGGTCCCAGATACTAAGAAGGCTGAGGTAGGAGGATCACTTGAGCCCAGGAATTCGAGGCTGCAGGTGAGCTATGATATGACTTGCTGCCACTGTGCTCCCACCTGGGCAACAGAGTGTGAGACCTTATCTCAAAGAAAGAAAGAAAGAAATAATCCAAACAGCATATTTACTGTGTGCCAAGTCTATGTATAAAAATATCTATTCCTTTCATATAGGAAGTCATTTAATCCTTACAAGAGGACTGTTAATATCTGAATTTTACAGATGAGGCAGCTGAGGCACAGAGAAGCAAGTCACTTGATCAAGGTCACACAGCTGGCTTTTGATCCCAACAAGACAGTCTATACTATTAGCATCATGCTCTGAAAAAGTACATTTAAAATACTGAGAGCAGTGCATGGTACATATAAGACTTCCATAAATTCCAGCTGTTGCTATGGCCCAGTATCAGTAACAGCAGCAGCGGCATTATTTTAGGACCTGCCGGATTTGGTGTGCTTTGCCTCACCAGGCTAGGCCGATTCTATAATTAAGCAGATGGATGTTTCAGGAAACCAAGATGTAAAGACCAGCAAAATTCAGTGCACAGGAATATCCAGCTATTACCTGGGCTATCTGCTGCCCAGAGTCGTGTTCTTCACTCTCTGAGCTCTCGCACACCCACAAGCTGGAGAGATTTACTGCATTTCAGCCAAGGGCAGAGTTCGGTTTCTTTGCACCTGAGAGCCAGTTTTGTTTTGTTTTGGAAGGGGGATAGCTAATTCAATATCTAACCCTTTTGTGGGTTGTTGTTGTTGTCGCTATTTTTAGAGACAGAGCTTTGCTTTGTCGCCCAGGTTGGAGTGCAGTGGTGAGATACTGGCTCGCTGCAGGCTGGAAGGAATGTTTGGGCTCCTGCGATCCTCTCGCCTTGGCTTCCCAAAGTGCTGGGATTGCAGGTGTGAGCAGCTGCACCTGGCCAGTATCTAACCCTTTTGATTAAGTTTCCTGGGGACCCAGAGTGTTCCAATCCCAGGTTTCATTATCCCATTTAAGTCAGTGCAATGGTAATATCCAGTTTCACATTCTGCCCTCATTAAGGGTACTAAGTGACAATTTTCTCTCTTTCTGCTAGGAAAACAGCAAAAAAGCATAGTTTTTAGAAGAAAATTGGTTCTTTGCCATGTTACATATTTCCATGTAATAAATTATTGTCTGGGGAAAAGGCACATGGAATTTGATACTGATTGCTTAATAGTCATAATTTGTTAATCACCTATTTTTCTGCAGTAAATAAGTACTTTTTTGATATTGTCAGTAGTTTTTAAAAAAAAATCTTAATTTTTTGGTAACAATGTTAGATGAAAGAATCATTACACAGTTAGCATACACTATATGCAGCTTCCCCTGTTATTCATATCCTATGTTAGCATGGTATATTTGTTACAATTAACGAGCCACCATTGATATATTATTATTAACTGAAGTCTATACTTTGTTCACACTTGTTTAGTTTTTTTTTTTTTTTTTTTTCTTTATTGAGACGGAGTTTCGCTCTTGTTACCCAGGCTGGAGTGCAATGGCGCGATCTCGGCTCACCGCAACCTCCGCCTCCCGGGTTCAGGCAATTCTCCTGCCCCAGCCTCCTGAGTAGCTGGGATTACAGGCACGCGCCACCATGCCCAGCCAATTTTTTGTATTTTTTAGTAGAGACGGGGTTTCACCATGTTGACCAGGATGGTCTCGATCTGTCGACCTCGTGATCCACCCGCCTCGGCCTCCCAAAGTGCTGGGATTACAGGCTTGAGCCACCGCGCCCGGCCTTACCCTGTAGTTTTCAATATAAATTTACAACTAATGGAAGTCCACCTTCAAATAACATTATGCTGCATTATGGGTAGTGCAGGTGTCTTAGAGCAGAATATTGCCTTCCTCCCCCACTTCCTTATGGCATTGCTGCCCTTCATTTCACTCATCCATCTGCTATCATCACCCAATACACTGTTTCTATGATCCATCTAAGCAAATAGTTATCTTTTAAATCAAGAGTAAGAAAAACAAAAGATGTTATTTTATCATCATTTGTTCCTTCGCAGTCTTCCCTCCTGTCTTTATGTAGATTCACGTTTCTGACTTCTGTTACTTCCCTTCCCCATGAAGAACTTCTTGTATTATTACTTGCAAAGCAGGACCGCTGGTAGTGAAGTCCCTCAGTTTTGTTTGTCTGAGAAAGCTTTATTCCTCATCCTTTACGAAGGATAATGTCTCTGGATATTGAATTCTACATTGGTGATTTTTTTTTTTCTCAATATTTTGTTTCACTCTCTTGTTTACATGTTGCTAATGAGAAGATCCACTGTAATTCTTATCCTTGTGGAAGGTAAGATTTTTCCCCGTCTTCTTTCAAGATTTTCTCTTGGATTTTGGTGTTCTGCAGTTTTAATATGATATGCCTAGTGTAGATATTTTGGTAGTTATCCTGCTTAGCCTTCTCTGACCTTTCTGGATTTGAGGTTTGGTGTCTGCTACTAATTTTGGAAAACTCTCAGCCATTATTACTTTGGATATTCACTCTGCTCTAGTCTCTCTTCTCCTTATGGCATTCCAATTACATTGTAATTTTAAATGATCAAGTAGAATTGTATTTTTAACACAGAAGTATATACATGCTATATAGTAAGAAAATTAGGAATCTGAGGCCGGGCGTGGTGGCTCACGCTTGTAATCCCAGCACTTTGGGAGGCTGAGGCGGGTGGATTACCTGAGGTCAGCAGTTCAAGACCAACCTGGCCAACATGGTGAAACCCCGTTTCATACAAAGTCTGGTGTCTCAGCTGAAAGATCTAAAGACTAGGGGCTAGAATCACTGGAAGCCTCAGTTGTTCACGTGTCTGGTAGTCGATGCTTGCTGTTGGCTCATTGATGAGATCAGAGATAGGGCTATTGGATGAAACATTTACCCATAATTTCTCCCTGTGTCTTGGGCTTACTAGGCTCCAAAAATGAGCATCCAGTGAGCCAGGTGAAAGGTGTATTATTTTACTACCTTTTCTTGGAAGTTACATGCATCATTTCCATTGAATTCCACTGGATAGCTTCAAAGGAAGGAAACACAGAACTCACTTCTTGGTGGGAGATATGTCACTGTCACATTACACAAAGAGCATGTGAGATGGGAGAGGAATTGGTGTGGTCATCCTGGGAAAGTATAATCTTCCACATCTGTCAGAGTTAAAAATATGCATAGTCCGTAAGTACTTTGGGAGGCCAAGGCAAGCAGATTACCCTGAGATCTGGAGTTCGAGACCAGCCTGGCCAACATGGTGAAATTTCATCTCTACTAAAAATATAAAAATTAGCTGGGTATGGTGGCGTGTGCCTGTAATCCCAGCTACTTAAGAGGTTGAGGCAGGAGAATCGCTTGAACCCGGGAGGTGGAGGTTGCAGTAAGCTGAGATCATGCCACTGCACTCCAGCCTGGGTGACTGAACCCGGGAGGCAGAGGTTGCAATGAGCCGAGATCATACCACTGCACTCCAGCCTGGGCGACAGAGCAAGACTCCATCTCAAAAAAAAAAAAAAAAAAAAAAAAAAGAAAGAAGGAACAATCGCTTAAGGCCAGTAGTTTAAGACTAGCCTGAGCAACATAGCAAGACCCTGGCTCTACAGAAAAA